TAATTATGTCTTACAGTCAATTGTTAAGAGTACTACTATTGACATATATGATACACATATACTGAACCAAAAAGGAAAAGAGAACTTAATAAACACAATAAGATAGATAAAGTGATTCAGATGGTGAGTGAGATTCAAATATTTAAAAGATTATGTGTCTAGCAGCTAAAAATATTTCTTAGGCTGCAACAACCAGTGAGATTATCAATTAAACAACTTGTACTTAACGCTTTTTGGTCCAATATAACGTGAGCCCAAATTAATAAATCCCAAGATATTTGGTTTCTTTTTGTACGGTTAGCTTTTTCAAATTTATATATATACATCTCTTACCTAGCATTTCAAGCTCAAGTTGAGCATTTCAATACTAATAAATAAGAGAATAGACTTGAACTTTCATACAATTTAGCATTTCCCTATCATCTTGTAAACAAACCTTCCTGATTCACGGATCCTCATTTTCTATAAAAATTAGTCGAAGAATTCTTGGTTGCAATTCATTCATTTTTCTGTCCCAAAATATTTGTCATTTTCCAAACAGAAATTAAACTACAGGACTCAAAAAAGTAGAATCATTAGAAAAAGGTTTGGTTGCGTATTTCTTCTCTTACAAGTTGCAACTAACACTATTTCTTCCGAGATTTTTTCTTTTCAATTTTCTACACAAACTTTGTAAACCGGTCGAAAAATTACATGAACTAATGATCTCTCTAAAATTCACCAAAAAAAATTGGTTAAGGTAATTTCTTGACTAAACTGTAGCCATGGTTAAATAAACCAAAAATCGCGTTTTAGAAATCCGATAAGTATAGTTTGTGTAGTTAGAAATCTGATATAGTTATTGGATTTCTAAAACGCGATTTTGGTTTATTTAACCGTGGTTACAGTTTACTCAAGAAATTAGCTTAACCTATTTTTTTTGGTGAATTTCAGAAAGATCATTAGTTCGTGTAATTTTTTTATCGGTTTACAAAATTTGTGTAGGAAATGCTTTTTATGTTCTGTTTCCGGGATTGTTAAATCCTCAAATCAAATGAAATAAAATCAGAAATTATATTATTTTTAAAAAAGAGAGGAAAACATGAAATGAGAGTATTTTTATCAACATTTTAAAAGTAAGAGTATAGTTATTAATGAGTTACACCTATAACTCAAACTATAATGGTAATTCATGTTACAAAAGGGTTACTTCTTTTTTTCAAAAAAAAAACGGTTACTTCTTATAGTTTATAAGTAATTTCCGAAATATATATGATTTTACTATTCAAATATATTTTTATATAATCTATAGTTTTCTGTGCATTTGTCCTTTTTATCACATGGAAACCCATATTTTACTTAATGGCCCTAAATGGTAGTGGAGGAATTGAGGAATGTTGTGGAACTGAGGAATGTGGGAGAAAAAAAAAAAGAATAAGTTGGCACCAATTGAGTTGAAGGAAAAAGTTTGAGGAATTCAGAGGAACACAATGACTTTGCTTTTTTCTTTTTTCTTTTTTGAAATATTAAGATATTGTAATATATATCTAAGATAATGTATCTTCAATTGGTAATGTAACCAAGTTTCAATGCTTGGTTTTCATTTTCTTTGTTTAAGAAAATTTTAATATTATAAATAAATAAAATTTGAAATATTAGTTTGAGTGGTAAGTATGAAAAATACTAGCAAGGATTGTGAGATAATATTTTTTTGTAAAATTTAATACATTTAGTAGCATAAATATTTAAAGACTAATTGTCAAAATGCCACTTTTGGTATGCTCATTTTTAAAAATGCCACTTTAAGTTGTCCATTTGCAAAAATGCCACTAATTAAAGATTTTTAAACCCAAAATCTTTAAATTCTAAACCCTTAAAAGTATTTTTACCTCAAACAAGTTCTAAACTCTCAAAACTAAACTATAATACAACATAGTTAACCCAACATAAATGATATATTGAGTAAATGATTTTTAAAAAATTGGCATTTTTTAAAAGTTACACTTCAAAAGTGTTCTTCTAAAAAATTCTCAATATTTAGTTATGAAAAATTCA